ACGTGAATATCCCATAAAACAACTTCCTTTTGTTGGAAAAATCTAAACAAAATCTGTATTCGATAAAAAAAGACATGGGAAGCCCGCGGGGTATCTTTCGCAATTTCCGCAACGTTCAGGACCTCATTGTGAAATAGTCGTAAGAAAATATTGTCGTTGGGCGAAATAAATTAATTCTTAAAATAGAAACAATCGTTGATTACTCCGATGTTATGTAGTTTTTCGGTCATGAGGTCAACAAGCGGATTCTATTTTTAAAAACTACAGTTTTTTTATAAAATTAATTAAAAACTCTCACTGCCTGCATGATAGTACTTATTTTACCTATTTTAAATCCATATAAACAGTTACATGTTTTTGAAAATTAAATCTTAAATTATCATTTCTTTGAAATTAATGTAGAGCCTTATACTTAAAGATTCTACGCCTAGATATGGCATTACCGTGGTATATTCTATAAAAATTGTTTCATAACCTTTACTAAGCAGAATGTAATAATAATGACTATACTATACAACCCTACAACAATTCATGTTTTTTTATAATATAAGTTGATACAAATATTCAATGCCATGTTACTAATATAATAAATGCGAAAGTTTAAATGTTTGTTATAGTTTACTGCCTAAATACCTGAATTAATTTCTATGAAATTAGGTGTAAATGTAGAGCATATTCTGGATGAACACATAGGCATAGAACACATAATTCCATGCGGACGGAGTCGCGGGCGAAAGCTACTTTTTTATAAAGCGAAGGAAAGTCAAGAATAAAAGCATTTATGGTGTCATCAAGTTCACTTTTGTTCGATGTTACATTATTCGTGAAGATTAGATTTTTGTTTATATGAAGAAAAAAGTTATCGAGTTACATTTTCAGAGCAAAATATCTTTGAAATGAAATATATTTGAGCACACGTTATTACCAAATAAAGGTAAGCCAATATTACATTTACGCTATCGAATATTTTCCAAGATGAAAGGACTGGGTTTAAGGAAAATCATCATTTTCATATTAAATTCCAACGAGTGCTTCATTCAGACTGTTTTCAATCGTCTTAATTTCAATAGAATCACGCTTCATACTAATATTATAAATGCGAAAGTATGTATTTATTACTAGATATCTGTAACAACGTGTCTCTGTAAAAATTGGCACAGATGTAGAACATAGTCTGGAAGAAGAGATAGGCTACTTACTGAGTTTTTTTTTTTAATTCCTCGCGGACAAAGTTGAGAAACAAGCTAGTGAAAAGAGAACAGTAACGTATTATATGATGAAATTTAATGTTAGCATTCTCTGTGGTCAAAAATTGGTATATCAGTTTGTTTGGGTTCGCTAAAACTCTATAAGTACTTGCGGTTTTGTGTACGACAAGGGTCGTTTATATTTAGAATTGGTTAGTTGAGTGACTCAATTTTTTAAATGGTACAAAAATAAGTATTTTATCGTATTAAGCAGTGAGTATAATAATATATGAAAATTCGTGATCCCGCATTAATCTTATCTACGTCCTTTAATTAAAATATGTTAATCAGTGGAAGCGACGAGGTTGGTCATTTGATGTCCGCATTTGAAGTTTCAGAAATCTCGAGCTTTTAACATAATCTTACTAATAACATAAATGTGAAAGTTAAGATGGATAGATGGATGTTTGTTAGAGTATATAACCTAAACGTCTGAACAGACCTGGACGAAATTTGACAAGATAATCTCCATAGCAGAATCTGATTTGTATTAAACGTAAATAAGAAGCCGCTATAAGTTGAACCTTTGTATAAGTTTGTAAAAAGAAATATTTCGTTGAGAATTTCTTTGTCGTCAGTTGTATTAAGCCTGCTTTAGTTTTACAAAGAGCGTAATCTCGTCAAAATTTTGTTAATATTTGTATGCTAAAGGTTTTTACGTGAAAGTTGTTAAGATTTCTTTTGTCTTGAACGACTTGAAGCTTATTCAAAGTGAAAAAAGCTTTTCAACGTTAACTCTGTTTACAGTTAGTTGGGATTATTTTGAATACTTTCTTACCTTATGATATATTTATCGCACCGCAGGCTACATACATACAAAACATATACTTTATTATTTATATAGGTTTGCTATATGAAGCTTATGACTTTTAGAAACTTTAAGTAGGGCAGATACTTGACATATTTTGATATTTTTAATAGCATAAATCATAAAATCAATTTGATAAGGTGTTTAGACAAATATATGAACACGAGAACGTTTAACATACTCGTATAAAAAATATAAAAAAAAATTAAGACACTACAAAAATATTTTTTTAAACAATATACCTAGACAAATTACGATTAGGCAGTATTCTCGATCTCTCGGTGACATAGTTAAGAACAGTTCAATTGTGTCCTATTTAAACACAGTTCTATTGTCCTACACATGCTAATGGTTTCTATAATTGTTGGGTAAAACTAATGAGTTGTACAATGAAGACGGATGAGTAGCTTGGGGAGCATTTATCAAGTAAGAAAGCTTTTCTTCATTATGAATAGAACTGAGCGGCACAATACTGTACTGTAAGTTTGCAAGACTTTTTATGCCTCTTTATTAATGAGAACAGCTGGATCGTTACCACGCCTTAGGAAATAGTACACTTCAGTTTATAAGAATTAATAAAAAACATTTATTTCATTTTTAAATCAATGTAATAGGAAAGTACATCTAGTATTTTCCTCAATAGATATAGTTAAAAACGGTACGAAATACAAAAATTTTGTAAGTTTTTAAACCCTTATCATTTAGTTCAAAATAGGCCTTTAGTAGAAACCTAATGCAAAAATATAAGCAACCAAGTTTGAGTCTCGCTGTTCGGCTTAAGTTTTTAAAGTGCTGACTAAGTGGACTTTTAAGTGCTTACTTACTCTCACACCTTACAACACTCCTCCTATGTGAAAACATGTTGAAATATTTTTACTAACTTCAGAATCCATTTGTTCATAATTATATAAGAAAAGAATAATTTAGAGTTATTTCGTCAAAGCCAAAATCCGATTAAACTGGACTAAGTTTTTATTTGCTTTATAACAATGGAAACTTTTAAGTGTTTAGTTTAATTGTAAAAAAAAAAAATGATTACATTTAATTGAGTTAGTAATAAAAGCCCTGGGACAATAAAAACATTTTTACAGTTAAGAAAAACAAAAGAATTCGTTCGTCAATAAAACCTTTGAAATATAAAAGTCATTTACTTTAACAATTTCAAACATTTGAAGAGTCGTAAATTTAATCGATTTCTCGTATTAATCGAGTAATCAATTTTTCCATTTGTTGAATTACATTAATAATTATTTTCTTAGGTTATTGAAGGGGTTTGTTTAATGGAATTTGGTAATATCGATTTTCATATAATAAAGCTTAATATTTCGTTTGTGTGTTATTACAAAAGGTGACTTTCTTATTTTTCTCCTCGACGAAATATAAATATTTAAACATGACGTAGCTTTTTAGTTTTTGCGTTTTCACTTTGGTATACAATTGAGGGTGGCTGTATTTATCTCTTTATATTACTAACATAAACATAAATAAAAATATACTTATGTGTCATCCAGATAAAAACATGTTCTAGTATTTGTGAAAATTTTATTTCCCAATGTTGCGAGAAAGGCACAAAAATGACAAAATAATACCATCATAAAAGCAAGGTTGCCACGGTTACTTAAATTCTCAGTCAAGAGCAAGGGTAACTTTGTTAATAGTTGTCATCATTTGATTTTTGAGAATTGCATTAAAAGTTGTAAGGAGTGTAAACAATGAAATAATAATGTTTTTGTTATGTCATGCGAATGATATCGCACGGGAACAGCTAATCAATAAAAAATATTGTTTCATTTTCTTATTTAGCTCAGACTTCCACGGAGTAGGTTCTGTTTAACGTGGCATTGACGGAAAAAACAATATAATGATCAAGCACGCAGTGGGTTGGCCGAATATGAGATGACTATGATTGATAAGGGTGCTTCGATGTGCATGACGTGAAAAAGATCGTATTATGCTTGGAGTTTTGGTAAAAAAATGAAAAATAGCTGAACAAGATATCAATTGATTTAACGAAGCGTTTAAATAACAGATACAAAGTTTCGTTCAAGATCTTTTTAGTTCCCGACTGAGAATATGTTTAGAAAAGATTGGATTTCTTTTTTGGTCCAACAACTTTCTTCTTTTTTTCGTAATAATTTCAATGAACAAAGGCTAGTAAAATATCCAATATTACCGTGTTTGTTTTTTAAAATCAAAAGTCTCTTTGGCCGATGGCAATTTTATGTTTAAAACATCTTTTAATCACGTAGCATTTTCTCTTCCTTAAACGAAAATGTTACAAGATATCTAATTAAATAAAAGAGACGTTTGCCTTTAATATCAAAAACCTCAAAAAGAAACGATGAAACGAATGAAAGTATTGTTTAACTACACGATAAGGTCACAAAATGTCTGGTTAAATTAATTACTTACGAAGTTTAAAATCTGTCAGTGATTTGTAAACTTTTTTCCAAATTAAGACAACCATGTGAATTTGTCCAATACTTTAAGACATTCTTGTAAAAATTGAAAGAAAAGATTTACATTATACATATCAATGTTTTTTTTTCTTTTATACCGGTCAAGTGCGTATCAATTGGCGCATAAGAAAAGGTTCTGTACGGTAATAACGTCTACAAAAACATTTGTTACAAATCAGTAGTCATCGATAACAAAGGAAATAGTAAATTTCCCAGCATTTTTAAAGAACCTCCGACATTTTACGTCACATAACTATACCTTAATAATAGTCAAAATTTTAGCTAAAATGAAAAATGTTTTTTTTTTTAATATTTATTTATAAGTTAAACACTGGTATAGTATTTTATAACTTTTTCTATCATAAACTATTTCATTATATCGTATCCTCATTAATAGTTTGAAATAGGTTTTAAAAGCTTTCTACATAGCGTTACGAAGGAACGTAGAAATGTTTCTAGTAGCGCGCGCAGTCGAGTCCTACGCGGCAGTGGTCTGCAGACGTTCTACCGGACGCTCGTCTCTAACGGATCTGTTTTTAAATTTAAATCGTGTTAATGTAAATAATTTCCCATGACGTGTTACCGTGGAAACTTTTTTTGAGTAACTTTTGTAATGTGTTTTTAGGTGATTTTTTTTTACCAGAAATCTTGGTAACTACCGTCTTGAAGTTTAGGTAAGTTTCACGCTTGTTTTTTTCAGTTGTGTTTACGTTTTTTGTTGTAATATTTGTGTTATTAATTTTATGTTGTCAGAAAAAAAGTAAATTTTAAAGCTTTAAGTATTTTTTGTTGCCGTTACATTTAAGTTCGTTTAGAATTATGTAATTGCATTATATTTTAAAATATTTTTTTACAGTAGCTAAATTAATTTTATTTCTTTAGGTAAATTCATCGTTCGTGTTGCATTTATATCGAAAACATCATTATACAAGGAAGTCGGTGCATTTTTTTACTTCTATTTATTTTTTTGGAGTCGTTACCCTTTTTTTATTTAAACAGAAAAAGGTATAGGATAGGACTACAACATCAGGCAGAAGATTAATGCATACTATCGAATGTGGAATTAAAGGTTGAATTTTCTGATAATTTAGGAACGCACCACGCCTGTAGTTAAGTGGGAACCCTTCCATTTAGAAGAACTTTGTTGAACAAGTTTTAAAATATTTATGAATTTATCTTAGCTTTTTTACAATAAAAGAACTACAGCAATCAAATGGATTATACAAATATTCTGTCGTTTTCATTTGTTTTCGTTATTATATGTGAACTAAATTAGTTCAATTTACTACATCTACGTAAATAAGGTTAACTGAAGGTGTGAAAGCAAAAACCTTTTTAGGCATTACGTGACTCATAGTCGTGTTTAAATATAGAATTTTGTAACACTAGTTTTACATATAACTAACTACTAGACCTCACTAATTACAGGCATTCATGATTGAACTAGAAAAGAAATGTATTGCGGTTTTAATTAATTTCGGTATTCAAAGAACAATTAAGTTAATAAAGCAGCCCATTCGTTAATGACTAATATTACGTCTTAAAATTAACTGTAATAATTTTATTACGAGTAGTATACAGTGTCTTAAAATATTTTAATTATTTTAAATTGATAAACAATCGTATGTAACAAGAAGGATGTTACTTAGGAGTTTGGAGGTACACGGGTAGAAGTAGACCTAGAAAGATATTGGTGGATTGTTTAAAATCTGAAATGAATAAGAAGGGAGTTATGACTGAGATGACGGTTGATAAAGTTATTTGGAGGATGAAAACCCGGTGTGCCGACCCTACGGGAGTATGAGAAGGTAGGGGGATGATGTTATCGACAAATCAAAACGACTGAACAGTTTTTGACAAAGATGGACTGGGACGTCGGTGGAAGTGACAATGCATTAACTTTTGTATCGATTTCATAGGTTCAGCGAATCGCTAATGGAAGTTACCATGTCTGCAAATGATTAATACAAACTCCATGCTACTATTAACAGTTTTCAATATTCTTTTTAAAGGTTTAAGTAAAATTTTTTGAAACAACCACTATAATGTAGCTAAAGCAATTGATTTGTTAATCACAATATTTTTTTAAGGTGACAAACGAGCAAGCGGCCACATCAATCCGCCAAAATGTCTTTCGAAGGTCGGCGATCATTAGGGCGACTTGCGTTCTTAGAATTGCATTAGAGTTTCGGAAATAAAAATTACTCGCGACGCACTCTCTTAATTAAATACTTTGAAATAAAAATATTATAAACATAATGTATTATAAAATGGTAAATTTAGTTATAGCGAGTATTTCGTGGAATTCTATATCTTCTGTATTTAAATGGAATGATGCCAATTTTCAAACATAGCTTACGTAACTTATTCGATTGATCAAGTTTTAGTATACAACTCTGAATTATACGACAATTTTTTACTACAAGCAATAAAATATATTGTAAAAAGATTTTAGTGGTGTCATTAAAATCAAATTAAACAGAGATCGAAAGAGCTACTATAAAATCTAAATAGATTCTTATTAGAAACTTGGTCAGTGTAAATTTTAGGAATTTTAATATTGGACGATTACGTAAATACTCACTAAATAGATACTGGCTATCTAGCCTATCTATCTATATAGATATAGTTACTGGCCGGAAAGATAGATATCGTCTTACGGAGGGCACAGTATTACTCTTCTATATAATATCTATTCTGGCCCATGTCCAGCAGTGGGCAGACACAAACTGCTGCTGCTGCTGCTGATGATGATGATGACGGTGGTGATAATATCTATCAGCCGTCACATGTCTTCTTCACAATTTATCTATACATTCTTCAAGCTTAATGGTTTGATTGTATAAATTACTAGCTATCGCCCGTGACTCCGTCAGCGTCACATTAAAAAATTAATTAGCCAATAGCTTCTTCCAGGCTATGCTCTACAACTATGCCAAATTCTATTGAGAAAATTCAGCAGTTTAGGCGGCAAACTCTATCCATCCAAACTTTAGCATTTATAATATTAGTATGATAAAACATTTCAATATTAATTTACACACGTTCTGAATCAGATTATTTGCATCAGCAGAGTAGATTTGTATCTAATTCTATTGTCAAATCATGAATCTATCATCCAATAATGATGTCAATAATCGGGATTATAGACCAAGATAGTAATTAGTGTATGATCTCATGAATATAAATGATGACTCATTTTCATTGCCATTCATATTAAAGTTAGGTCATCGTTTACCTAATCGTGTAGAGGCACGCAACAATTCGGTTACTAAAATATAGTTGTAATATTAATTAAAGTTTGTCGAACCGGTCAAAATGCGATGCGATGCGTTACGATGTTCGTAAACTGTTAAAATACATTAAGTGACATTTGCTATTTTTAGTTTTTGCCTGCGTCCTGGTCTGCGCAGAATTAAAAAATAGTATGTGTGTACTTCCAGGCTATGTTCTCAAACTCTAACTCTAAGAAACATTCATTAATCCATCCACCTAAACATTCGCATTTACAATATTAAAATTCATAATATAAAAGATCAAAAAGAAATACTTACGCAATCAGTAAAATTTATTTCGACCCTCTTCAACGCATGACCAAAAAACTGTCAATCAATTACTCTGTGACACAGGTGCTATAGACAAACTGTCTCCTCTGTTTTAATATAATCTTTACAAATTTGAACAGTGCCAGCTTGTTGAAATTAGTTTGCGAGATTTCGAGGAAGTGACCTAATATCAAGACCCCTTGATTGGATTCTCAGCTTATATCAATATTTTGTCACTATACTATATCGAGTGATTTAAAATTTGAGATTAATATTAACGTTATCAATTTTACTTACTTTACTTCTGAGTGGTAACTCAGAAGATTTTAATATATCTTGTCCGATAACAAAATGGAGAAAAATGTAAAGGTAATTTAAATCTGAACTAATTTCTTGTTGACAGTAACGATCTAAATGTCTGGCACCTCATTATAGCGACATCATTTGTCCCTGTCGCCGGGGTGAAGCAAAATCAGATCTTACAAATAGTAAAAGTACGTCTATTTAATTTGTAAGAAATTTACTCCAAATTTAATAGAAAAGATAATATTAATCTATACTAATATAATAAAGCGTTAACACACACTACTTTGTGGCGTAAGAAATCAGAAATAACATATATTTGAATAACCATTTCTTTAATCAAAATCCTTACACTTACGACACTCTTCAGGCTATTTATTTTCACTCTATCAGAGTAAGGAGGTAAATAAATTGGAAAAAACCTTCATGTGTGAAAGAGACTATAAACTATAAGCTGCCAACATTAAGGAAGCAAGGTTATTATGGTAACGGTAATTTTGTCAATTGCATGAGAATTTGACAAATGTACACAATAAAATAAAGATTTTATAACTTCATGCGGATAAAGCCGCACGGGAACAGCTAGTTATACTAATAATTTTCAATGTAACCGTGTGAAACAAAGACGTATTATTAAAGGTATGAAATACTTAAGCTTATAGTAAAACCCAGTCAGTAGAGATTACCAATTTTCATTTGGCGTGATCTTTTCACACCAGTCATATACCATTGTTTATTTATATGTTAAAATTAATTAAAACGGCCATTGATGTCATCAAATTGGATTATTCGCGTATAAAACAGGGCTTTGAACGTTGATTTAATCTGGCTCATGTAAATTCCTTTACTTTGTATTTTACCTAGCGTCCCGAATATGTTTTAAAAAATAATGTGCATAAAATCTCGTACTATGACGTCACAGAACTAAAAAATAATAAACAGTAGTCCAATTGATATTAGTGTTATTCTCTTCAAGCTCAGGTATTTTTCTAAATTATTTTAAGTAAACAAATGAATATTAAAAAGTCATAAGCGCCGCTTACAATCATTTAGATATTATTTTTTTTATTGGAATTTGGAGTTCAAGATAAACCTTATAATTTAAGGCACTGTTACAAATTTATATGTCGTTTCGAGATTCGGTTTTAAGTATTAATGAGTTGGTTTTAACTGTAACAACCTTAGCCTGTAGTACAGTTCGATATATAAATATGCTTCAAAAAAAGTATGGTTGACACAACCAGGTAGAGAATTGAGCTTAAATACTCAACAACTTCATGTATTTTGTAACAATACTACAAAGCAATGGCTGGACAAGTTATGAGCATCGGCTTAAATAGACGGGATATGTTTTGCACTGCAAACTCCACTCCGGTCGATTGAACGTGAACTTTTATATTGCAATGCTGGCTACCCGCTCTCAATGTCCCTTACTAATCTGCTCTATTACGCTTTATTTGTTGTCGTATTGTTGATTGGTATTTGGTACATTTCGATATCGTACAATCGAATGGAGATTGGTTAGAGAAGCTGTTCGTGTATTGACAGTTTTTTCTAACCGTCGGTTTCTAGGGATATTGTCATTATCCCCATACTCTGGTGTTTGTTTCGGTAGTAGAACCTTACGATTATTTCAATATTTCTAGTTTATACAGGTATCTTTTATTAGATTCTTGCTTTCACCCGCGACTCCATCCGCACGGAATTTAAAAACTCCGTACCTACATATATGTTCTTTCAGATGATGTTTTATATTTGTGCCAAATTTCACATCGAGATCTATTGAGCGGTTTTGGAGAAACGCAATATCAAAAATTAGTAAGATA